TCAGGGCCATAATCTTAAATCCCAGCAAGTGGTATGCAGAGGGATAGCAGCATGGATTTATCACTGTGTCAGTGAGCTGGAGGGAATTGGGGAATGGTTAGACCTAGAGACCTGGGGATGGAGGTAGAGGAAGGAGACTGGCCCCAAGAACTCAGTGGGGGCAGAGTGAAGACAATATTTAGCAGGGGGGTAAGCCACTGGTGTGTATGGGAAGGGGGCAACCTAAAGAGGAGAGGAGTGCATGGAGAGCAGTCTGGAACCCTCCCTCCTGCTTTGCTCCTTCCTCATCTTTTCCCCATAAAAAAATTCCAGGAATGGGAGTGGACTAGGCCAAGAAAGCTTCTGGATAAACCAGCCCAACCAAAGTAGGGAAGCAAAGAGGTCTGGGGGCAAAAACACCAGAATGTTGAGACAGGTGTTTTGAGAGTGGAGGGAGGAAGGGAGGGAATTGTTCAAGAGGAGAGCTGGGGAGTTCCTGGTGTAAACACCTCCTCCAGAGAGCAGATTGGGAGAGACAAACCCTTTTTTAATCCAAAAAGGGAGAGTATACGTAGTCCCAGCCCCTCCAGGAAAGGAGGCTGTGGAGTACAGTGCAGGGTGTATTGGCTATTAACCTGGACGATTATTTTGCCTCGGTTTCCCCATCATGGAAATAGGGATAGAAAACCTAACTCATAATACCAGCTAATGTTGGTTGAAGCCCTGTATGCCATGGGGTCCGCACAGGTCATCTTAACTAGGTCATCATTCTCTACATTCCCACTATACAGACAAAGAAGCAAATTCAGGAAGGTTAGGGTTCATGCCCAAGGACAAAAAGTAAGTGACAGTGCCTGCTTGGGGACACAGGTGGCTGACTGTAGAGCTTGGGAGTTTTAGCCACCATGGGTTATCTCTTGAGATGAAGAATGATGCTGATGAGGATCACTAACACATCTGACCACCTAAGAGGAAAGGTGATGCACAATTCTCACAATGCACAAAGCAGAAAGCCTCTCAACAGATCCCGTTAACAACCCACAGTGACTGAGGGCTTATTACATTCCAGGCCCTGTGCAAAGCACTTCATATGGGTTATCTCGTTTGATCCCCACCACACCCTTATGAGATTGGGACTCTAAGTTTCACAGAGAAGGAAACTCCTCCTAAAGAGGTTACGTAGCACGCCTGTGATTGTGGAAGAGGTGGAGCAAAGTTTTCAGACTAGCATGAGTTCCTGAGCCTTTGTGGGTAGTAGCTGACCTGTCTCCACAGTAGCTGTGAAGCCGACCACCTTCTTCTTCCTTCCTGCCTCCTCCAGCCTTTCCTGACGACACCCTGTTTCCCCAGTCTCTCCAGTCTCCCAAACCCTTGGCCTTTCACGTCTGAACAGCTGACCTAGCAGCTTAGTAACCATCCCTACATCCTCTAATTGCCTGTGGTTCACAGCCCCGGGTAGCATAGCCACTTCGTATGCAATCACCAAATGCCATGGGGATGGGTCACTGCCTGTTTTAAGGGTAAGCCTTGGCTCCCTAGCCAGACCCACTTCTCCTGAAGGCAGAAACGAGGCTTATGCAAGTGTTGGAGCCCTCGTGGTGTCTGGCATGGGACCAGGCTACTGTGTCTGTGCAGTAAATATGTGTTGCTTGAAGGACTGATGGACAGGAGAGAGAGAGAAGGAGAGCAGAAGGTGAGGCAGGGAGCTTCTCTAGATCACCTTCTGCCACTTGGCACAGGGGTGGCACTTATCAGGGACCCCAGAGCCCTAAAAGTCTGTCCTCTTCACCCTTGTGTCCCTACCACATCGCTTATAACATAAAGATATGTTATGTGGCCTTTTTCCTCCTCAAACTCACCAACATTGTCCCGCCCCAACTGGCCTTTCCCGTTGCTTCCCAGCATCGGGTCTCCTCTCCAAGATCATCTTCTGCAAGAGGCTTCCCTTGACACTCCCTCTCTTCCACCCCCCACCCCATTACCCTTGATCCCACCCCCTTGTATTTTTCTGAATAGCATGAATCTCTGACATGATTTCGGTGACTTGCTTCCTGGTTGGGGTGTGTCTCCTACTAGAATGTAAGGACAGGTCCCTGTCTGTCTTGTCCACTTCTGCATTTGGCATTTAGGAAGTTTCAGCTGTTCTGTGTGCGCAGCTCTCCTAACAAGCTCTGAGATTTTGTCTTCCCCAGATTTGTTAGACGTATGAATGAAGGTGTTTGAACAGAACTGAATTAAAGGAATGAAGGAGGACTTCAAATATTGCACTTTCTTCCTACCCACCCCAGCCTTCAAGGTGCAAAAGGTGAAGGGGCAGCTGTGTTCTGCAGCAGCCTGGAGGTGAGGCTGCGAAGTCAGTTGTGCAATCTAAGGTATGGGAACTATGCGTGTGAAACACCCGGGGCGGAGGAGCCGGCTGGCTCATCCTGCCTGAGCTGGGAGGAGAGGTTCCGCTGAAAGTTTGGACAGTTCTTGGCTTAGAATCTGGAGGGCCCTTTAGAAAGTGATCCCGCCCAGCTGGCCCTCTGAGAGAGCCCAGTTGGGGGCCAGCATCCTGCTGGAAGGCCATAATGAGGTTACTGTGGGAAGCATTCAGATTGCTGGGGAAGCATTAAGAACATGAAAGATATGCTACGCGTTCTTCAGTCTCCAGAGAATCACCACCCAGTGTTAGACTTGGCAAAAGGTCTTCCGTTCATTCTCTGAGCTGCCTGCTTAGAAGGGATGCACCGCCTGAATACCGAATGCCAGCCATGGCAATCTGGGAGCCTCTCCCACAGACCGTAGGAAAGCAACACGAAGCTGGAGGAGGGCAAGGAGCCTGTGTTCCTGGACAGGTGTGCCCTTGTGCTCCCTGTAGTGTGCTCCCCATAGGGTGATCCTGGCAGAACCTACCTGTCTCCAAGGTGACACATCCGGGCCTCTTTTCCAGGAGGCCCTGTTGTGAAACATTCAGGAATGTTTGTGTTCCTTCAGAGATTTGTAATTAAGAAGAGGCAGAACTAGTTTTTGCTTGGCCCTCTTCCCTCTTGCCCCTCCAGCGTTTGGGGCATTTCGATTTCATGATTGGGGTTTTCAGTAGCCCAGGACGTGGAGGCTGGAGACTGCCCTGAAGCTGAAATGGGGTGAATCGCTTCATCAGAGGGTGGGGGCAGGGAGTTCCAGGCAAGCCCCCAAGTCTGGGCCACATCTGAAAGCAGACATCTCTTCCCAGCTCACATTCTTGGCACTTGCCCAAGGGGAAACATTGCAGGCCAGAGAAGCACCCACAGTTTCCCAGGGGGAACTGGTTTAAACAGACCGTTCTTCTCTCTGGCAGGAAGAGTGAATGTGTGCACGTGCATATACGTGTGTGTGTGTGTTTAAATCTTTGTGCAGCTAAAAACACTTCTCTTCATCCTGATTCTCTGAATGACACGTTGCTGCACACTGAATAATTCATCTCCTTCTTGGCATTTGTTCCAGAGAGAATGTTGCTGTCCAGATTTCTTGTAAGTTGCATAGTCTCCCAATAGAAGCTTTTCTCTTTCCCATGGAAGAGCTCTGGGATCCAGGATATCAGCCCTCTGGCTTTTCCCCCAAGATTGCTTTGAGGGGGAACCCTGAATGTCAAACCAGAGCCTGCCTTTCTCCACATGCCCTCTTCTTCTGTCTTTGGGTGCCCTCTTGACTCACTCTTCTTTATCCCTGATGGGCACAGTTTCTGTGTTTGCGGCAAGTAGAAGTCCACCTCTCAGCGCCTCCTGTAGGATATCTCTATGACAGTCACATTACTGATGTTTGCGCTTACTTATCTCAGTTCTGACTCCTCAGTGTCGAAGGCTGGAATGATCAGCCGGGTGTATGGTTTTCTGGAAAAGTGATGCATTTTGGTGTTGCAGACCTGCCCCGTCTCCAGTCCTCACCCTCACAGAGAGTTCAGTGAATCACTGGTATTGATGACTTGGATGACTTTGAAACATTTGATTGTCTTTTCATTAAGCAGCTGTGGATTATCCAATGTGTTGAACATCTTCGTACCAAGGCACAGGGGGCTGAAGGTGCAAATATACCAAAGCTCCAGTGCCTTTTGCCTACTTCAGACTTGCCCCTGATGGTCCAGAGTCGTCATCTGTATCTCTGGCATAGCCTACTTTGTGTTCCAGATTGTTCTTGGTCTTGTTAATTTTTATGAGCAAAGCTCAGGTTTGGGAGTCAGGTAGTGGGGCTTCAGGTTATACTTCTGTGGTTTACTAACTGTGTCATATTGAGCATGTTTTCTCATTCGTAAAATGAAACAATAGTGCCTACTACCCAGAGAGAGAACATGACATATATAACTTGCTTTCTAGGCTTAGATTTAGCCATTATTAAATAGTTTAATTACACTGATACATGAACATTACAGAGAAATTAGTAAAAGAAATTACATTAAAATCTGTGTACCAAGGTAACATTTTAATGTACATCTTTCTAGTTTCTCTTCCATATGTGCTGCCAAAGTGAGCACCCCGTTTCTCTCCCACACACGCATGCAACATGCACACACACTTGCACACAAATTTTTAGGCAAAATATACAATAGTAGTATCCTGTCGATTTTCTCTTTCAACAGTGTTGTTCTCATAATATATTGAGAGCATCCTTCCGTATTAGCAAAATGTAGAACAATACATTTATTTTTCATTCCTACATATTCATTATTACAGTCACCCATTCCACAAATATTTATCAAGCACCAGTTGTGGGGGACACAGGAATCTGTTGTTTAGATGCACCATTGATGAAAGCATTTAATTAATCCCTAGGGAGGAATTTTGAAAGGTGATGATCCAGGGGAACTGTCAGAAAGGGACGTATCTTTTTGGTTTTCTGGGTGGCAAAAGGTATATATAGTAAGATTCATATCTCTGCAGCCAGGCTGGCAGGCAAGGCTTTCAGGGCAGAGGGCAGAGAGAAGAATGAGTCAGAAAAAGAGGTCTGACTCTAGCATTCCTGGTCCCTCACAGATTTTTCTTTCCTCAGTAAGAGAGTAACTCTCCATGGAGAGGTATGCCTGTGTGTGGACTTTTTCTTCCGAGGCTCTTTCAAAGATTTGCTGCATAAAATGTTGTTGGATGAGATTTGGCTCTTGGAGTTCACTGGTCTTCATTGTCTGTAAGGGAGAACCACTTGGTGAAGTTTGAGGAGAGGGAGGCACTATGGGATGTGGCCTTTTGTTTCTGAAGTCTGGGCAGAGCATGCGGTGGTGGTGGTGGCATGGGCTGAAGACCGCTTTGCAGGACTTCTATCCAGACTGGCACAGGTGTACCTGAATGAGGAATATTGTCTGCTGAGGGAAGTCCCTATCACCTGTGTGTCTTCTCCATTTTTCCCTGCTTTGACTCCAAGACAGTGGCTTGTGATTTTTCCATGGGGCTCAGGAGATGCACTGAAGATGTCAACTTTCAAAAGAACCCTTGAGCTCACACACAGCAGGAGTTCTGGAGACACATTTCCTTGCTTGAAATCCGAGTTTTGTCATTGACTTGGAGAATGTTATTTAGTCTTTCTTAGCCTCAGTTTCCCCTTCTGGGAAATGGAGATAACAATAACTGATGTTTTATGAGCACTCATTCACACCAGTATCTGTGCTAAATGCTCTTAAAACATGACGTTAGTTAACCTAACTTGGACAGTTATTATTATCCCACTTTTCAGATACAAATACTAAGGTTCAGAGAAGTTAAATAAGTTGCCAAACCCACACAGCCAATATAAGTGATGCTTATTGAATCCTTATTTGATGGTGCTTAGTCTTTCACATATCATATTTACCTCTAGCCTCACCCTCATCATCTCCCACAATGCAGCAGTAAATTACTGACTAACGGAAGCTTTTGGAATCTCCATTTATTCAGTAGGTATTTTTCGCAGCCTGCCTGACCTTGGATATATAGTGGCACGTTGTGCACACCACATTCTGTCCACCAGGGGCTTTTTCAGTGTTTCTTTTCTCCCACATGTGTGTGTGTGTGTGTGTGTAGTAGTATAGTGTATATATATATCTATTGTGTGTGTGTGTGTGTGTATACACACACACACACACATATATTCTAAATGTTTATTTTTGAGAGGGCAAGGGGAGGAGTAGAGAGAGAGGGAGACAGAGAATCCCAGGCAGGCTCCATGCTGTCAGCACAGAGCCTGACACAGGGATTGAACACATGAAGTGTGAGATCATGACCTGAGCTGAGATAGGGGTGAGATGCTTAACCAACTGAGCCACCCAGGCACCCCTCCCCTATATATTTTGCTTTAAATCTGAGCTGGAGTGGTTATAGGAAAGGAGATTGCACAGTACAGGAGAGAGGGTAGTTTTCTGAGGCTTGGAGGGAAGGTCTTGATCAGAAATCCTGGACCCTATTTCAGTCTATTTTCTTCCTGTCCTGTTGTGTGTAAGCTAGCCACTCTATCCAAAGGGTGACGAAACAGAGCCCTGTGGCCTTCCAGGACTCTGAGGGCTTGGGAACAGACTGGAGAGAGAGAACATCTGAGTATGGGTTTTAAGCAGAGGCAGTAATAGGAGAAACCAAAGGGGCTTTTTGGAGGGGCCACTCAGGCTGATTGGCTGTATATCTAGGTTCGTGGCTCCTTGCACTCTGACTGAAATGCTTAAACAATGGTTTGTGCTGTTTTCCAGCCTTGACAGGCCTTAGTTCATTTAGTTGGATGATTTGTCTGTCTGACTTAGCCACCAAGTGGGTGATTACCACCACTGAACACCAAAATGGGGTCTTAGAGAGTGGTTATTACCAAAAAGATCAGTTTGGCCTGATCTGGGGAAGGACAGAGGTGGGTATAGGCATTTAGGAACGGCTCAAGAAGCAGATAAATACTGCTTCTGGCCAAATTCATAAGGATGGAACATCTGCCATTCTAGATGCTGCTGTAAGCCAGCTTTCCAGAGGGCAAGTGGGCACAACAGACGTAGGGTAGAGCCAGGATGAAGACTGGGGGTGGGGTGGGCAAGTGAGTCACAGATGAAGAAGCCAGTGAGGGCTGGAGTCCCAGTCCAGAAGTGAGACTTGACCTTCGAACCTTTTTCTGCACACCGCCCAGAGATGCAGAAACAGAGGTCCAGAGAAGGAAGCTGATGTGCTCACATCATTCCCAAATCAGTGGCAGAGTTAGGCCTGGAATGCCAAATCCCTGCTTCCCTCCTGGGTGACGTAATCCTGCTGCTGCTGCCATGCACTCACCTTCCTGGGGGCCTTGGGCACAGCAGAGTTGGGGTCAGTGCAAAGTCTGTGGCTCTGCTGGGTCAATCCAGAGGAGCGGGGGGGCTGAGAGAAGCAGTGAATTGCAGGGCTTTGGGGACCTTGGGCTGATGGAGTGTGTTTCTCCTCTCCCTTGCCAGGTACACCAAACCACTCACCTTTGCTGACTGCATTAGTGATGAGTTGCCACTAGGATGGGAAGAGGCGTATGACCCACAGGTCGGAGACTACTTCATAGACCACAACACCAGTAAGTTCCTGTCCAGCATCCCTTCCCCATCTTGCACCCCATCCCTCTACCTCCACACCCACCCCCCAAGTCTGGAAGAGCTGCCGGCAGAGGCTCTTGAAGCCAGATTGTGTTTTGTTTTATATAGAGTGAGATGGAGATGTCGATGTAGATATAGATAGATAATGTATGCTTGTACAAAATAACCATTTAGAAGGATTTTAAATAGAATCTAAAACTCTCCCCTCACAACCCATCTCCCCAATTTTACAGAAGCAACCACTGCTAATAATTTCTTGTGTATCATTCCAGAAATACTCCGATTGTATGTTTGTGTGTATATGCAGATATCCTTTTCTTTAACATATACCAATTTTTTCAACGTTTATTTATTTTTGGGACAGAGAGAGACAGAGTATGAACGGGGGAGGGGCAGAGAGAGAGGGAGACACAGAATCGGAAACAGGCTCCAGGCTCCGAGCCATCAGCCCAGAGCCCGACGCGGGGCTCGAACTCCCGGACCGCGAGATCGTGACCTGGCTGAAGTCGGACGCTTAACCGACTGCGCCACCCAGGCGCCCCTAACATATACCAATTTTTGTGCGTACAGATTTTTTTCCATGTAAGGCAGATGTGTCATTGTCATTACCAGACCAGAGCCCCGGCATGTCCCTAGCAGCATGCATACATGTGTGTTCATAGTGGATTGGTATTAGTTGTGGTGTCTCTAGCTCATTATAGTGGTCAGCTGACCTTTGCTTCATGTACATGATCCAAGTATCCTGATCCAGAGTAAAGATTCCTAGTGTCTTTGTCTCTGAGGCAATGATGTAAGAATAGGTTGAGAAAGGGACAAGCGTGTTGTCTAACAGGTGGAGGAACCCAGGTCACGGTCCCTGAGCCAAGGAGACTTAATGGGTATTTGGGCTTCATACTTTTTTTTTTTTTTTTTTTAATTTTTTTTTTTTAACGTTTATTTATTTTTGAGACAGAGAGAGACAGAGCATGAACAGGGGAGGGGCAGAGAGAGAGGGAGACACAGAATCTGAAACAGGCTCCAGGCTCTGAGCCGTCAGCACAGAGCCCGACGCGGGGCTCGAACTCACGGACCGTGAGATCATGACCTGAGCCGAAGTCGGACGCTTAACCAACCAAGCCACCCAGGCGCCCCTGGGCTTCATCCTTTGTACACCTTCTTGGCCAAGATTATGTCCTGTCCTCTGAAATTCACTGCCCCACGTGTCCATGCCTGTCTTGCTTCCAGCCTTCTGAAGTGTAGGATTCCCTTTGTCCTGTCAGGAAAGAGGTGAATGGAATGAAATGGGATGTGCCTGGCCAGGCCTGAAGGCTGAGAATAGGGCACGAGATCCTAGTAGCCTCTGTTTACTGACCACACAATCTGTGCCATGTGCTGGAATAGACACCTGATAGACGTCTTCTCACTTAATCCTCCTGGCTCCCCTGAGGGGTGTTAGGATGATTATCCCTGTCTTATAAATGCAACTTAAAGGTCATCACTGACTGCTTGACACTCAGGGCTAAAGCACAGCAGAGCTGGGATTCGAACTGCTACTAGGGAGCCGAGTGTGCTCCCCGATTCGCTTTCTCCTCCAAGTTCAGTAGCACCTGGCTATGCCTCTGTCGTGCCCCTCATCACTCTGTGGTATAACCATTTGCCTGTTGTAAAGCAGGGCAGTGTCTAATTCATCATGCCGCCCCAGGCCTGTGCTTGGTAAGGTACATAGTAGGTATGCACTTGATCTTTGCTAAATAGGAAAGGGCATACGTGCATGAACTCATGACTAAATGGATGAATGAGCAGACTTCGTCGGCACCAAAGTGTAGACAAGTTTCTGAGAGACAGCTAATGACATTAATTGCATTGTTGGGGGTAGCAGAGGTTTTTATTAGCGCTCACAATTGCATGCTAGAGAATGAGAAGTAAATATGCCTAATTGAGTGTGTACAGGGAATGAGGTTAATGCTTGGAGGGCTGCACGGTATGCTGGGTTCAACAGTGATGTACAGGGACCCAAACCAGTCTACTCCTGTGTCTAATTACTGAGTTCATCCCCCTCATTAAAATCTGATGGCAAGAGCAGTATTTTAAGGTGCTTCTGGGAGTTGTTGGAGAAATAGAAAGCAGGAAGGAATAGCAGGCAGTGGCAGAGTTTACTCTTGAGGAGATGATGGCAGAAATGGGATGTATGGGCGGGTAAGTAAATGGGGGCCACAACAGGAAGAATTCTGACAGTTTTACCAGCTCTCAGACCACTGGGTGCCTTTTGCTTTGAAGGTGTCCTGGTTGGATGGAGGGCACCACCTTCTGCAGATGGAGCCTGTGTGGGGTACAGGTGGTGGGAGTGTGACCCTCGAGGCCTAAGCATTCAGAGCCGGGGACTCAGACCAGTCCTCTGTGTGTGTGTTGTTCACAGACTGAAATTACCTTCTCCAGTTATAAACATAAGAGAATTGAATAGGTTCAATCCACTGTCCAGCATTCATTCATTCATCAAATATTCACTGACTATCTGCAATGTTCCAGGCACTGTTCTTGGAACTTGGGATACATGAGAGTGTTTGTAATGGCAGTGATTCTGGCCCTTAGAGAGCTTTCATTCTGGCAGAAGAGACAAAAAATAACACAAATAAGCATATTATGTAGTACATTAGACAATTAAAGTATTACAGGAGAAAGAAAAGGAGTGTGGGCTGAGACGTGCTGGGATGAGTTTGAGGGTGGTGGGGAAGGACAGTGGCCATGGTCTTCAGGAAGAAGACCTGGTTGAGAAAATGAGATTTGAACTAAGACTTGAGGGAGATAAGGGGGCCTTTCAGGTAGAGAATTGTTAGAGCAAGAACTCTGAGTAGTGGCCACGTGTAGCTTGCATGGGGATGACAAGGAGGCAGGTGTGCACATGGCAGAGTGAGTAAGGAAGCTGGGAGAAGGACCTCAGGCCAGAGAGTTGCAGGGCATAGATGGGATGGTGGTTTGCCTTAAGGGCTCTAGCTTTTTGCTCCGTGTGAGATGAGAGCCATTGGAGAGTTTTCAGCTGATGAGTGGCATGATCTGCTTTATGTCTTAAAAGGGCCACTCTGGCTGCTTTGCTGAGAATAGAACTTAGTGGAGCAAGGACAGAAGCAGAGAAGCTTGTGAGAGATGATTGCAGTCATCCAGGTGACAGAGGGCAGTGCCCCAGACCAAGGCCTTGGTGGTGGAGGTAGTGAAAAGTGGCCAGATGTGGATGTATTTTCAAGGTAGAGACAACAGGATTTCTTGGTAGACTGCATATGGAACATGAGAGAAAGAGGAATGAATGGCCCTCATGGGGCAGAGCACCTGGCAGGATGGAGTTGCCATTTATTGAATGGAAAAAACTAGAGTATTGGGTGTAGGGAGGAAAATGATTTTGGACATGTCGAGTCTTCTATACCTGTTACACATCTAAGACTTGAGGGAGAAGTCTGGTATGTTTGATGGAGGAATCTGGAGTTTGGATAAGAGATCTGGGCTAAAGCTAGTTGTTTGGGAGTTGTTGGCATACAACACAGTAGTATTTAAAGACATGAAGCTAGCTGAGATCACCAAAGGAGTAAATCAAAGAGAAGAGGGCCAAGGAATGAGTCGGGGTTCTCAGATAGTAAGTGGGTGCAGAAAGGAGAAAAACCTGAGGAGTGACCAGAAAGGCAGAAGGAAAACCAGGCCATCCTGAAGGAAGCATGTTGAGGAGAGTGTCGTCAGCCCTGTCAGATGCTTCTGATGGGTCAGATATGAAGACTGAGATAGACCCAACTTTCGAGGGAAGCTGTGGACAAGGACTCAGGGCAAAGGCCTGACTGGAGTGAGTCTGAAAGAAGACCAGGGGTAGGGGTGGGGGAGCAGCGCCTGAGGTGGCTCAGTCAGTAGCTCAGGTCATGATCTTAGGGTCATGGGATCGAGCCCCATGTCAGGCTCCTTGCTGAGCGTGGAGTCTGCTTAAGATTCTCTCTCTCTTTCTCCCTCTGTCCCTCTCCCTCGCTTGTGCACTCTCTCTCTATCTATATCTATATATAGATATAGATATAGATATAGATATAGATATAGATATGTAGATAGATAGAGATAGAGAGACAGACAGACAGACAGAGGAGTGAGAACCAACAAATATAGACAACTATTTCCAAAATATAACCCATTTCATTATTTCAGATGTGAGTGTTCAGTACTCCCACAGACTGTTTCCATCCATCATGATTAGATGGTTTTTGTGTTTTGGGTTTCTTTTTATTTATTTTGAGAGAGAGAGAGAGAGAGAGAGAGAGAGTGCACATGAGCAGGGGGAGGGGCAGAGACAGAGGGAGAGAGAATCCTAAGCGGGTTCCACACTGTCAGCACAGAGCCTGATTGCGGTGCCCCAGACCCGCAGGCCCACAGACCTCACAAACTGTGATATCATGACCTGAGCTGAAATCAAGAGTTAGACACTTAACCAACTGAGCAGCCTAAGCACCCTTGATTAGATGGTTTTAATCAGGGATCAAATTATGTGTTCTAGTGTTTTCCCTTCATATTGTGTTATGAGTATTTGAGAGATGCCACACAGTTTTCATATTGTCATTTTTAGTACATCAAATGAATGTAAGCAATACATTTTAACACATAAAACAAATGCACCATAATTACCCCTATTGCTGACCTCCTGCACTATTTCCATCTATTTGTTATAAATAAATAGGGGGAGAATCGTTATTCATATTGCTCCTCTCCTTTGTGACAATTTCCTAAGTTTATATTTCCAAATATAGGATTACTAAGCAAGAGACTATGAACATTTTTGAGACTTCTGATCCATATTCGTTCCTAAATTGATAAGAACTTCCAAAAGACTGTATCAACCTGTATTGCCATAGGCAGTAAGGGTACTGTTATCCTCATGCCTTGATCAGTAAGGGGCGATTTTCATTTCCTTATTTCTTGATAAATTCATTATAGGTTTAAACTGTTGCTTCACTGCTTTTCATTTGCATTCCTTTGCATAGTA